ACTATCCAGACTTTTTTGTCTTTCTTATCGACAATTGTTAAGTCTGGGGTGTTATGTTGCAGGTGCTTGTCTGTTTGAATTCTGAAGTCCCAGAGCAGTTTAATTTTATCATTTTCTATGACTTTCTCTATTTTATGATCCCACCAGTTTTTGCTTACAGGCAAATGATATTTTTTGCAGATCTTCCAATGCACCATTGTTGCTACTTTGTCATGCCGCTGCTTGTAATCAGTCTGTGCAATCTTCTTGCAACAGCTTACCAAGTGGTCCACTGTTTCTTCAGCTTCTTTGCATAGGCGGCACTTACTGTCTGTTGCTGTCTTCTCAATTTTGACTTTGTATGCATTTGTCCTTAAGGCTTGGTCTTGTGCAGCCAGAATTAGTCCCTCGGTCTCTTTCTTCAATTTTCCTGCTCTTAGCCATTGCCAGGTTTTATTATTATCTGCTTTCCCAGCTATTTTTTTCATGTATTGGCCATGTAGTGCTTTGTCTTCCCATGCCTCTATTCTGTTCTTCATTTGGTCTTTCTTGTAGGCCAGTTTGGTCTCTCCAGTAGTAGTAAGCCTTCCTGATATACTAATTTCAGTGCATCTTCATCATTGTTCTTCAGATATTCTTCCAAAGCCATTTTTTCTTCTTCAACCATCTGATGTACTTGTAGCATTCCACGCCCACCTATTTGCCTTGGTAGATAAAGTCTATCAATGTCACTGCGTGGATGAAGGGCATGATTCATTGTCATTATTTTTCTGGTCTGCCTATCCATTGCTTTTAGTTCTGCTTGAGTCCAGTCCACTATTCCAGCTGTGTACCTAATGACTGGGATTGCCCAGGTGTTGATTGCCTTTATGGTATTTCCTCCATTGAGTTTGGACTTTAAGATCTTCTTCACTCTCTTGATGTATTCACCTCTAATCTTTTTCTTGACTTCAGTGTGCTTGATGTTGTCAGCTTGAAGGATACCCAAGTATTTGTAGTACTCTTCCTCATCCAGACTCTTAATGTTATTTTCGTGGGGCATCTTGATTCCTTCAGTTTTCATTATTTTTCCTTGTTTGATAGTAAGTGTGGCACATTTGTCCAAGCCAAACTCCATTACAATATCTTGGCTATATATACGGACAGTGTTGAGCAGCGATTCTATTTCAGATGATGTTTTTCCATACAGCTTCAGATCATCCATATAAAGGAGGTGGGATAGTCTGGCAGATGTTTTTGATGTTTGATAGCCATGTCCTGAGTTATTCAGTATTGTTGACAGAGGAAACAGTGCAATAACAAATAGTAATGGTGATAATGAATCTCCTTGAAATATTCCTCTCTTGATATTAACCTCTCCCAGCCTCTCACCATTGATCTGCAACTGTGTCTTCCATTGTGCCATCGATCTTTGCACAAATTTTCTGATGTTTCTACTGACTCCTGTTATTTCTAGGCACTTTATTATCCAATCATGTGGCAGAGAGTCAAATGCCTTTTTGTAGTCAATCCATGCCACATTCAGGTTGGTCTTCCTTCTCTTGCAGTTTTCCAAGATCATTTTGTCTATTAGGAGTTGATCTTTTGTTCCTCTGCTATTGGGGCGGTTTCCTTTCTGCTCAGGTGGAAAGAGATTGTTTTCAACTAGATGCTGTTGTACTGCATCAGCTACCACACCAGTTAGTAATTTGAAAGTTGTTGGTAAGCAGGTAATTGGCCTGTAGTTACCTGGTGTTGCCCCTTTTGCTGGATTTTTCATTATTAGGTAGGTTTTCCCAGTTGTTAGCCACTTTTCAATTTCTCCTCCTTGTAGTATATTGTTGAACTGCTTGGCAATGAGTGGGTGTATAACAGTTAGATGTTTCAACCAAAACCCATGCAGTTCATCTTCACCTGGTGCTGACCAATTTTTGATTTTCTTTGCTCTTTTTTCTACCATTTTTGTTGTTATTACTAGTTCTTTCATTTCAACTTCTGTTTTATTTGCATCCACCTCTTTTAACCAAGCCGCATCCTTGTTGTATTTCTTTGGGTTATCCCATATCTGCTTCCAGAACTGCACTGTTTCTTCCTTGTCAGGTACTGACTGATTCCTTGCAGTTTCTCCATTGATGGATTGGTAGAAACGTTTCTGATTGGATTGAAATTGGAGGTTCTGCCTATAGTTTGCAATTCGAGCTTCATATCTACTGATTTTCCTGGCTATAGCTGTTATTTGTTGCTTTATTATTTCCAGTGCTTCCTTGATCTTCCTTGTTTCTAAGTGGTATTTCTTGATTAGGTATTCTTTGGTCTTCTTGTTCTTCAGCTTCTTTTCTTTCATCTGTTCTAGCTTGCTTGCATGTGATCTTAACTTGCTGATCTTATTTTCTAGTCTAACCTTCCATTTTTCTGGTGCACTGTTTGTTTGTTTTTCTTCTTTGTTGATTTTGCATCCCAGGTATTCTGTTATAACTGCAGCTGTGCTGTACATTAGTTGGTTTGTTTCTTGCAATGAATTGGTGCTTATACTTGATATTGCAATATTTGCATCTTTTAATGCTTGTGCTAGCTGTTTCTTTGGAACAAGCTTCAATGCAGGTAGCCTTATTCTGTTGTTTTTGTGCTGTTCTAGATGCTCAGTTATTTTTGTTTCAATTCTTTTATTTCTTTAGTTAGAGGGTTTTGTTCTTCCTGAGGAGAGGTGCCTGGTTTCCAAATGAGAACAGTTGTATATCTCTGCTAGATTCCTTCACTGCCAACTCCCCCTGGTTTGCCTCTACATTCTGAATTACTTCTGGTAAGGCTTTGATTTCTTTGCCCTGAGGTAAACCTTTGCAGTTCGTCCAATTCTGTTTCTGTGAATATTTATTTCGTGTTATAAATCGGCGTTGATCTGCTAGTCTCTGTTCTGTTATTTCTGATTCTGGATGTTGTTCTTTCCAGAACTGGTGCATTCGTTTTAGATATCCTCTTCTTGTTGGACTTGATCTGTAGTAACAGATCATTATTTCTTTGTTTTCCATCACTGTGTATCTGCGACGGGTAAACACCTTTTCTTCCAGTAGTTCTGCAGCTGTTGGCCCTGGTTGCTCAGCCAACAGTCCTGAGTCCTGTAACCCATTTTTCACCAGATATCCAGGAACTCCAATATCTAGTGCGGACCTTGTTAACCCGGGCGACGTGGCATTCTGAAATTTACGTCTCACCATATTTTTTATGGGAGAGACACTCTTTGTCTGACTCCTCTGATGAGACCTGTCCAGTATGGTTGAACCTCTAGCATAACTCTCATCTTCCTCAGAGTACACAAGCCCCACAACCACGTCAAGGTAGTGCCTCACTGGGGGTTATTATTATTATTATTATTATTATTAAGAAGCCTGATTAAAATTTAAAGTTTTTTCAAGGCCAGAAGTGAATTATCTGGATGATCCTCTAAAAAGGGGCTATTGCACAACTTAAAGACCAGAATGGAAAGAAGGTTCTATTATTTTTTTATTTATACCAAGAATTATTTTGGAGGAAAGGGAAAGAAGAATAACGTTATTGACAAATCAAGATGATGCCAAAATGATACACATTCAATGACATACCATACAAATGCTATTATAAAATTGCATCTGGACATCTGTACCAAGAACATATGTCACAGAATTCACATGATTACATCATTACACAAATATTATTACTACCCCTTCTCTCATGGGTGTTTATTGACTTATGCAAGGGTGCCTAGCGACCTATAAGGAGAGGGTAAATGATGAAACATGTGTTGTAACACAAATTCCTATTTTTCTTGTGATGTCATAACACAAGAATGAAAAGATAGAACTGAAGTTGTGGAGTCATCATGCATGTTTTATAATTTTGGTACCGTTGTGATTAGGAACAGACAGTTTTGTCCACCTATTTCTATGGAATTCTGTAACATAATTTTTTAAACTCTGTTTCAAGAAGTTTCTGCAACATCTTTCTTAATGTTCCTTTTCCATTAACCTATTTTCTAATATTTTTTTCTAATACATACTGTTTCTCCCTGGTTTCTCTCTACATTATTTATTTGCCTTTTTCATCTATTTTTCCCCAATATCCATTCCTGACAGTAGCATATAATAGTCTACCCATATTCAGAAGAATTCATCAACCTTGTATCCTTTACTAATTCTCCCAGGCTTTTATAATAAATAATTCAATAAATTGTGCTTTTACATTTATATTCTTATTTCCCATGAATATGTATGAATAGACTCATATTTGAGACTAACATGCTTTTTCTAATCAAATATTTACCAAAGAATCACCATTCTCATTTGTTCTTGTATCTCTGATACATGAAATGAAATCATCATTTTCCCCTACTCTTTTGTTTTGGTCCTGCCCATCCATTCATATCATCTACCAGAACAATATTTTCCCCAAATGACACTCATTCAGAATTTTGCACAATGTTTCCCAAAATTCACCTGTGAGTCTTCTATATTCACAGGTTGGTTACTATAATCAATCTATGAATTTTCTTACTTTGATATGTGCCCCACGATAATTGGGATTACACCAATTCATACTTTCTGACAATGATTTTATTCTTTCATACTTAATCAAAACTAAACTTTAACTTTCCTGCACTTATTTATCAGTTCTGCTCCACAAAATCAGACCACTTTCATTCAGATATAACATGTGCTTCTGCTTTCTTTTAGTTTCAGACATACAACATCTCTATTTTCCTTTCATCAATTAATTCATGAAATATGCATATAATTAATGCATATTGTAAGCAAATAGTTTTACACAATATTAAACAACCTGGAATTATTTTTAATAAATACATATATACATACAATAAGTATGCCTGAAATTTTATATTTATTGAACTGAATGCAGTACTTAATTCTAAGCATACATGTACTGTATATAATTTATCTGTAAAATAACATTATGTACTGAAAAAAGATTAAGATCAAGTAAAGAGTTACTAGACCAAATACAATTGCACTAAGACTTTACCAGCATTTGTCTGAATATAGAAGAAGCTTTACCTTCCACATCAAGGCACCTAGGTGGACTATCTGACCAGATAAGATTATACATGCACTCAAGGAACTCTGCACCTTCTAGTTTATATCCAGGAAAACACTGAAAATATATCATTGATCCTACGGGGAAGGAAGACTTGAACTGAGATATATTAGTGAAACTATGAGGAAGCAGAAGTGGTCTCAGGCAACCTGCAAATTAAGAAGAAGGAGGTGTCTTATTATGAGATATGTATTTTTTAAAATACCTACTTAGCAATTAATTGAATATATATATTCATTCATCTGAACAGCAAATTAATACTTCAGCTGACTCTTTCTTGAATTCCTTCACTCCCATCATATATGCTAGATCACAACTTCTAACTGGTTGGCATATACCTTGCAGCAAAAGTACTAAATTCAGTATAGGATTATTTTAATATAGGATTTTCTACATTCTTTGTTCTTGACTTTATTTTGTTTTTCATTTGGATTTCTGAGGTCTCCCAATCATCACTGAGTTTGGTGGTCTTAGAATTAAATTAAAAAAATAAATAGAGCTATTTGAAGCAATTGTTCCTTTCCTTTAAAACTGTTATGGTAATACTTTATTTACTGTTATTAGTATTGTTAAAATGTAAACATAAATAAATGGATTTTTAATCTATTTTAACCAGTTGCAATGGTTCTGATAGTCAGTACAGAAGCTTTCCAGTTACTCATTACTTACAAAATTGCATAATGGGTATTTCTAGGAGAATACAAGACTATTCCAGGAAATACCACAGAAAAGAAGCAGTCATTTATGATAATCACATATCACTACTAATGAACAGATGGGCTTTTGTTCTTGTATGTTCTGATAATCCAAATCCTAGGTTACTTTACATATATTTAGACCTAAGTACAATCTTTCCAGTCACTTAAAAACCAGTGTTTACTTAGATTATGTTTGGATATTTTATTAAAAATATAAATAATAAAAATCATCTAGAGCAGAAATCAGATTTATATAGCAGTGAGCAAAATAAATACTTGCCAGTTGCCAAGTGGCCAAATTTTGATCATGTGACCAAGGGTAAGTGCAATAGTCATGGGGAAAATGTCATAAATCACTTTTTTCAATGTCATTGTAACTTTGAATCATCACTAAACAAATGGTTGTAAGATGAGACCTATCTGTGTTCTTCATCAAGAACAATTGGAATAAGCTACTCCATCACTAAGCAATGTGGTCAGAAAATGAAATTTCATGTGACCATGTCTAATTTAAGACATCGGTTCAGACTGCAATCAAGAAGCAAATAACTTGTGGTTGTTAAGCACAATGTCATTTGACCACAATTTACGATTTCCTGTCAATTTCTCCATCCCCATTGACTTTGCTTATCATAAGGCAGTGGTGAAATGACAAATGGCAATCATGTGGCCATGAGATACTATAATCGTCATAATTGACAAGTACTAAACTGCAATTTCGTGACCAGGGAATGTTGCAACAACTGAAAGTTTGAGGACCTGCAGGTCTATTAAAATGGCATCTGCTTCATAAATTGTACTCTAGCAAATGCCTGTTTTGCATGCCCACATTATATATAATATCAACAAGAACTGTAGCATCTGAAGCACTTATCCACCTATCTTTTAAAACTAAATATTCATTCAGCAAAACTGTGGAAGGAAGCTATGGCCAATGATACTTTCTTGGTGAATTTATACCACAAGGTTTAGTCATAGTTAAATAGTGTATTAACAACTTCTGTGTTACAACACATTTCAAAAGAAACCAGAGTTTATCAATTTCACATTTTCACCATCATGCTAATATGAGAGAAGAGAGGATTCAATTGTAGGAAGTGTTAGTGGACTAGAAAGTGTGGTTAACCTACCTATTCACTGATTTGGCTAAAAGCATTTCTGCAATAAGTAGTTTTTTTCTTGAAACCAGAAAAAAAAATCTAGAGAAAAAATAAACTTGTGAGGGATTTGGGAGTAAAATTGGTTAAATGGGGCAGCATCCCTGCTTTCTGATTCCCCCCAGCAATTGACCCCACATCACTCTAGAGTTCCCTACATAAAATGGCACTAAGAGACCCGAATCTTTGGTAATCTTTCAATGATGTCTGTAATTCGGGATAAGTACAGAGTGATACATACTAGCCAAAACATCTTAGCTCCTCCAAAGTGATCAAGATTGGCTTCAACTATCTATGAAAATAGTTCTTGGTGGTAGATAGTTCAATGAAATCATGAAATACATATTTAGCAAGAATTGATAAATGCTTAGATTTTGTTAGGGATTGTTAGAAAGCCCTGTATGGCATGGGTCCAGGATACCTGAGGAACCATCACATCCCAATGGGATGGGCCCACTTCACCCAGAAGGGACATGCTATGAATCCCTTAAGTTAAGGAATTCAGGCTGGCAGGGTCCAGAAGAAGAGCTTTCTCTGCTGTGGCTCTTACCCTTTGGAACATCTTACCCCCTGGAGTGAGATCCCCCACATCTTCCTGACCTTCCTGAAGATCTTGCTGTGCCAGTTGACTTTGGGCCCAATGAAGGAGTGTCACACTGAAGGTAATTTATGGACTAAGAGCAGATCCCACCCCATTCCCTGCACACCCTCTTCCTTCCCTCCTCTTTTTACCATAATTTATAATTTTATTGTTACTAGATATATATTTGTATAATTTTATTGCTTTTAACCTTGTAAGCTGCCCAGAATCACCTTGTGGTGATATGGGTGGCAGATAAATGTAATAGATAATAATTAATAACAGAAAAGATTCTGAAAATTAAACGCACTTGAAGGCTGAACAAGAAGTAATAGATGGAAACTAATCAAGGAGGGATGCAACATAGACTTAAGGAGAAATTTCCTTATAGTTAGAACAATTAATCAGTGGAATGGCTTGCTTTCAGAAGTTGTGGGTCCTCCATGACTCTTTTAAAGACGAGATTGGACAACGATTTGTCTGAAATGCTATAGGGTTTCCTCCTTGAACAGGGAGTTGGACTAGGAGACCTTCAAGATCCCTTCCAACTCTGTTATTTTGTTATGTTAAATGGCTATTATATTTTTATATAATGTATGATGTGACTGTATTTCACAGTTGCTGTTGCATCATTGTAAAAAGATTACTAATAAAGTATCACAATTTTAAAAATTATACAGAAATTACAAAAGACACAAAAACTGATTATTTTTCTCTCTCTTACGTAAGGTAAGATACTTGGGATATTTAAGTACTGAGATACTTAAAATTGTGGGGAAAAGTTATAGGGACATTATAATTTTGTAACAAGACATGCATTCTGTGGTAGAGACAATAAATTTATCCTTATGCAACTGAGTCTGAAGTATACACCTAATGTAAATATAACATATATACCCATGATTCATGAGAAAAGAAAATTAACAACTTCCTTATTATTTCCCACCTAAAGAATTTAAGACCTAAAGCCCATTGTTTCCTGATCTTCAAATCAAACGTATTTGTCCTACCACTTCATTAATAGCAACTCATAGGATAAAGAATTATTATATGAAATATTTAGAATAGAATAAAAACATCTAGACTAAAAACATTTTAATATTTGTTTTATAAGAAAGGTTCAGTTTCTGTATATTTCACTATTTTGCTATACTTTATTAACATTACTTTTGAAGTTAATATTTATTTCTCTCATTAGATAATAGATAAGGTAAAATCCCTCTTGATGTTGATTTTAATTAATTTTGAGTAATGAATTAATTCTTCAACTGAAGGAAAGAATTCAATTAGCTTGACATTCTAATTATTTACATCGGCAAATTTAAAAAGAAATGAAATATACAAATTTAATTTTATCTCTCAAATGAAGCAAACAATAGACTAATCATATTAAAAATGCATTTTGGCCATTTTAATTGCAAAATATCTCTAATGAAGGTAATGCTGAACTATAGTTAATTGTACTGTCCTTAAGATGTAAACCTTGCCACTCCCAATCTATCATTACTCAAGGTGTAAGATCTATAAAATAAGATGCTCTGGTGTACTAAACCTTGGCAAATGGGCAGATTATCCCATGTTCCATCATCTTTTTTTTTTTATTATTGAATTTTTTTCAAAAATTTTACAAATAAACATCCACCCCCCCCTCCCAAACCACCCCACCCTCCCCCCCCGACTTCCCAGAACTGAATATAGGATTATTTAACAAATTTTAAAAAATAACGTATACAATTTATAAAATAATTAATAATAATAATAAAAATCATAATAATAATATATATAATAATAATATACGTAAAAAAAAGGAAGAAGAAAAAAGGGAAAAAGAAAAAAGAGAGAGAAAGAAAAAAGAAAGAGGTAGGCAAAAAATAAAACATATATAGAAAAGTATATAAATAATGATACAGAAGAAGAAAGAAAGAAAAAAAAACAATCATTACAAGTTATAAAAAGGCTAAATAATATTTTTCCATATCTAAATTATGTTGTATAAAATTTATCCATTTTTCCCATACCACAACAAATTTCTCTTGAGATTGCTCCTTTAAAAAAGCTGAAATCTTTGCCATTTCTGCCAAATACGAAACTTTATAAAACCACTCTTGTAAAATAGGCAAGGATTCCTTCTTCCAATATTGTCCTATTAACAGCCTAGCGGCTGTAATCAAATTTAACATCAATATAACCTCCCTAGCATCACAATCAGTAACAATACCTAATAAAAATAATTGCGGAGTAAATTTTACCCTCCTTCTAAAAATTCTCTGAATATTCCACCATATCTTAATCAAAAAAGCTTTTATATGCTTACACGTCCACCAGATATGATAATAAGTAGCATCCAAGTGTCCACATCTCCAGCATTTCGGCTGTAAATTAGAGTACATAATGGACATTTTCTTTGGATCAAGGTGCCATCTATAAAACATCTTATAAAAATTCTCTATTAAATTTTGCGCTTGTGTGAATTTAACATTTCTTGTCCAAATAAGTTCCCAAGTATCCATTGAAATCGATTCACCAATATTCTGTGCCCATTTAATCATACAATCTTTAACTAATTCAGATTCTGAATCCAATTCCACTAAAACCCCATAAACTCTCTTAATAGGGGTTGGCCTTTGATCTCTTACTTGTTTTAGGAGAATTTCATCTTCTCTAAGCCAGCCCATTTTACAATCCATCTTCCATCTGTCCACTATTTGTCTATA